ATATATGCAAAGTTCGACTGGTTATATTATAGTAGCATAAGATACTATTTACCTCTGGAAAGAGGAAATCTAATAACAATGATTAACGTATTGCAAACCATGTCAAGGCAATCAGTACATTTGTGATCATGGCCATTCTAATATATATATTGTATTCGAAATTCATAGAATGTAAAATAGTGATAAAGTGTACGAATTATAACAAGAAAGGTCAAATCATCATCAATTTACAACTTTACTCGAAGAATATAAATCAGTAAGTACATACACATATTTTTTTTATTCAGTTGGTAATCCTGGGGATAATACAGGGCTTGGCATTCAGTTTCCGAGATAATATAGCGAAGAGTTTATGTTACGTCTGCTACTCGTGAAAAATGATTAGGGTGCTCGCCGCACATGAAGTTGTGCATTCCTTCTATAATATGCAGTCAGAGCAAAGAGTGTGTGTTTGTATATGCAAATTTACTGAAAGCAAGGTTACGCGCATCACTCAAAATTATAGAAAATAATCTCTGAGCAAAGTTACTGGAGAAAAATGAAGTTGAGACAACTACTGATACTTCACTGTTTTTGCACCTTTTGGCAAGGTTTCTAGTGCTTTTTGACGGTTTTTCATTGTTTTAGCAAGATAATCACGGCGTAGAAATAAGAATAGCTATTAGTCAGGACTGCAACACGAAATGTAAACTTCATCACAAAACTTAGATTTTGAAATGTTCGTTTGTCGAATACAAAATTTATCACGATTGTGAAATTCGAATTATTCGTTTGCTGAATGTGAAAATATTTACAAAACGTCGAATTCTAAACTTTTTTTACCGAATATGAGATATGATCTTCACAGCTATTTGCAAGTTCACGTAATGTTTCGTTTCTGCACTTGTTTCAGTCCTATACAACATTCAAAAGAATATGAGACAAAATAAGCATATGGTTTGCCTTGAATTGGTGGGAGTGACGGTGTCGTAGCAATTGTGTTCATCAGACAGTGGGTAAAAATTACTAATCGAGTACGCTGTGAACAATCAAATGGGGGTAAACAAGAGTGTATGCTCAAATTATGGTTCATAGCGCAACATAGGGCAAAATTGGGATGACGTCATATCACACGAAGAAACGAATCCCATACAGCACACCGGGATATTTAAAATAAATAAAAGTAATAGCTTTCTAGCGAAAAGTTTAGTCTTTTAGCACTGAAAATTTCAAAGCGATTAGTCCAGTAATCAAAGAGAAAGGTCTTTTTTCTGTTACAAAGAACATCAACAACATATTAACAAAACGAACGTTATGTCCACTAACGTGTCCAATAATGCAGATTGCAGCCAGCCTTGCACATTGGATACGACGGCAAAATAAAAGACATGAAGTAGTAAACTCTTAAAAGTTTGATATCAAGCCTTGGCGGTCTAGATTCACGTTGGATCGATTTGTATATTTGAAGATTGAAAATGTAGTTATGTCTCCGCGGTCATTTTCTCACGGTGTTTCCTAATTCCACTCTGAACGAGGCTTTACGGAAACTGTAACTCTTACGTAAAAACCTGGAACTTGCGGCTTTGGTAGGAATATACTCCTAGAGACCTAGACCAAGCAGATTTCGAATCTAAAATATCTAATCCACAACAGCCGTGTATAGAGGCAGGATGTGTGGTAACTACATATGCGTGTTATTTGGGTTTTTAAAAAAGTCTTCTCGAAATCCACTGCATATTTTTCTCTGTCTCCTTTTCATTTTAATCGGTTCATATATCATTCGATTCCTCACTTTTACGCTTTAAATTGAGCAAATTGACATTCGAGATGTCTATCTTCATTATCTCCACGTTTTGCCAACGGATAAAATTACTTATCTAGAATTAAAAGAAAAATTGGTGATTGGACAACCATTTTGATTTATAAGTTTACGGCAGATAATACTTCCCACTATAGTTACACTTTAATTACTCATTGTTTTTTAGATGTGTTTAACAACTGATTCATTTCAGCATTTTAACCCATTTTTCTTAAATGTGTGATAATTATGATAAAAATACATTCGGTTATTATCGATTGTTTGAGCAAAATTGATTTCATCTTAAAAGTATTCTAGGATATTAGGAGGAAGTAAAAATCTACCACGATGGGTTAATTCATACTTTAGAAAGGATACATAAGTCCATAATATGCACCATTTCTTACGGCGATGAACGAGATCCATCAAAGATTTAAGCTAGAACGAAATGTTAACAGAAAAACTGCCTGGGCCCAAACCACTTTGCGGGGACCGTTTGCAACGCGATGACCACTACACTATGGATAGACATCAGGGTCGGTTTTAAGCCGATTCGACAAACCACGTTCGCCCAACACGCGAACAATTATTGTTAAGTCAACCAAGAGTATTGTTCATTATAAAATGACCCACCGGCGTATACGTTTCTGTAGTGTAGTGGTTATCACGTTCGCTTTACACGCGAACAGTCTGCACCGTTTTAAAATTAGTATTCATCTAGTTGGTGTTAGGGAGGATTTGAAAATTGAAATCTTTTTTTTTTTCGATTTTGAGTGGTAGCGAGGGTGATTATTTTTTGCCCTAAGATCCTTCCCGTGTCATGGCCACTCTGTCTTTCCCACTCACTGTATCTTGTTTCTGACTACATGACTGTTGCTTTGGCCACTATGTCTGCTTTCTGCAACTGACCCTGACCTGCTCCCTTTGTTTACAACTTCTTCCGTGTGTTTCAGTCACTATCTCTGCGTTCTGCCACTGACCTACCCACACTACCTGGATTCTAACCTCCTTTCTGTGTCATGGCCATTCTGTCTGCTTTCTGCCACTAATCCCATTCTTTTCACGCTAACACCTATCTGAAAACCACGCCCTCTTGCCAGGTTACCAGTCCGTGTGGGTTATGAGATTAGTAAATTGGTTATGCTGTCCAGTTAATCTAGTTATCGAACATGGAATCATTTATTGATGCAACCCAGTGGTTTTGAATATTTTTTTGTGAAGCATAATCCCAGCGGAACATTTAAGAAGCTCGAAGAATCCAATACTGCGATAGTTTAATTGTTTGAATAGTAGGCTACATATAGCAAATCTGATACTGAAGACACAAAATTATTTTTGATCCAAGTGTCGCAAGTTTTAAAATAGTGGCGAATCTAAAAGGATTACAAGTTGGGTTGCTCGAGACTAACTTACTATACGTCCAACATGTGGTTGACTAGGTCGAGTATATCATGTATTTTTATAGTCTTTCTTGGCAGTTTAGTGTGGTGGCCTGTAACTTTGCTCAAATATCGGTCTTCTTTATTTCTGAGTGAGTGCGCATGATGTTATCAAGTTAGACTTTTTCAGCTCATTCTCTCATTGGACACTGAATGTACAAATGGATCTTTTGTAATCGGTGTATTAAATATACATTATCTAACTGGAGATTCAGAGACCAGACTTCAGTCGCGCTTATATGAAGATCCTACCCTAAGCTGAACCCATAAAGGCACAAGTAAGCTTTTCTTACTGCTCCAAGTTGGAATGAGCCGGAATCGATTCTCTTCCTTAGCTTGGAAAGTTTGGAGAGAGCCTTCAAATGATCAATGAAATTGTGCATGAATTAACAAAATCCGACAGTCGATGTTATGGTTGACACGAATCATCAAACTGAGCCAAGTCGGGACAATTTTTCCAGCCAGTAAAATCTAGGCTAGCCCTACTCGCGGCCAAAGTTATGAAGTTAATCCATGGCTGCAAAAATTATATACCATGAGATTTTTCCGCCGGCAGTGGGAAAGCCTACAGGAAAGACATCTTTTTCATATGGCGTTCGCTTAGAGCTAAATTGGTCGCCAGGTCAATCACGCCATCGTAAAGTTGTCGCCCAACTAACGACCGTTGAATATCGCGTCACCGTCGGCCCAAAGCTTGGTTTTACTGTATGTGTAGGCAAACATGTAGGCTTGAAGGATAATGACAAAAGGTCAACTTTTCTTCCCCCACCTCTGCCTGGTTTTACTTAAAATAGACTAGTTTCAATTCACTCATTAATATTGATCGGTAAGTAACAATTTGATTTTGTTACGTTCTTATTGTGGGGCTACGTCAATAACACCCCTTCACGAGCTCCATAACATCAAATATTTGGATGGTCTCAAATAGTTGATCTATATATTTTATCAGTTGTTGTCGTCGGTATGCTCCTGTCTTGAGCAGTCAATTATTTACTTCACATAGAACCGTGATTATTGCTGTTGCTGATGTTATGTCTCTGCCGTTTGGTTTGGGCGAAGAAATTACTATACAGTAGGCATCGAAACGACATCGCCGGCACGTTATTGTATGAAAACTTAAAATTATTCTTGGCTGCACAAGTCAATGAACTAAGATTTGTACGCTAATGCAGAGAATGCATTGATATGAGGCTAAACTTGTACACGCCGTTATACTTTCATTGAGTTGTAGGAAGGTTACATTTGTGATGGCATTCACCTGCGCGTTTACTCGACAAATATAAACAGACAAATATAATGGAATTGCTGGATTCTTTGTATTAAGCTCCCGTCACTGACGCAAAAATGTGTGATCTGAGATAAACACCCCTGTCACGTTTTAAAATAAAGATAGGTAATTATTCAGTTTGGGTTAGGAACGATTTGAATTACCGGCTGAATCTGTATCTCTCACCATTACTGAATAATTACTATTTCTATTTAATTCTAGCGTTGGCGGGGTGTTGTTCTGGGGCGGGACTTGGTACAAAAGATCCTGAGAATATTACTGTGAACTAGGTATTATACGGTGTATGAAGCAAATCACAACCGTCATTTGCATTTTGCAACTTTGAGATCACGCGTCAGAAGCGTGAACGACTCGTAACGACAACCTGGAGTAATTAAAGTAATCAGTTAAAAACATTTGATTTCAAACAATCAGTTAGCTTTTTTCGTCAAATATTTTTGCGCGGGAAGCCAAAAGCGATATCGCTTTTAGTCAGTCACAAATGTTCGTGGTAGGATGAGGTTTGATTTTCTGTAGGATGTAGGGATAGGCTGACTATTGGGTTGTGACAGTGAGTTCGAAACAATATTCAGGTGAGCTAAATGTTCTTTATACCTATTACTTTCATTGCTATTATATTGCTTTCATTTTACTATTGTATAAGTGGTAAATTAGAGGTTTTTGGGCCTATATGAATTGGAATTACCAACCTAATATAGAAGTACAGATTGATGGATGATTCTCTTTTGTATCGAACTCACTAACAGCGGGTTCCGTCGTTTCGTCACAAATAGGCCAAACTTTAAAGCTACGGTATATGGCAATACATAAACTTATCATAATAAGAAACTTAAACGTAATACACTGATCTACCTACGTGAGCTGCATTCAACATGGTACGCTTTACATGAATGTAATGCATAACTTTCAAAACTTTCGCAAATTTAGCGCAAAATCCATGGTTTAATAGAGAGCCTTTTACTTTTATATATTATTGTGTATAGATTGGATCTTTGTACAAAGACCCTACCAACGTTCAAAATAGGAGAATTAGTAGTTATCCAGTTTTAATTAGAATGCTGATTGCACTGGGAATTCAAAATTTTAACTCATTCCTAACCCTAAATGGATAATTACTAATATGTCATTTTAAAACGTTGCGGGAGCTTTGTGCAAAAGATCCGATAGATTCAGTCCCATTGTCCATTGAATATGCTAGCTACAGTTCTGCGACAGTTTATTTATCAAAATTTTAACTTTTTTCAGATTCAGAAATAATAAAAGTTAATGATTCAAAGACACAAAGTAACGAACGAGGAATATTACAAGTAAATATTATTTGAACATTTTATTTTATTTTCGACGCCTATTGATTCCTGTATACCACTGATTTCGTTTAAAATTCCAAACAATTCGATGCGAGCGCACCGCGTCTCAGTTCTTGCGATCGGAGTCAGCATTGTTATGCCACTTATTTCTTTCGAAATTGTAAGATTTATATTTTCACAAGTTTTCATAATTGTCTTTCGATTCAAAAGTCCAAAAAAGTAAGATCCACGTTCACGTTTAAAATGCTAAATAGTTCGATGCGAGCCAACATTGTTATGCCTCTTATTTGATCCTGTGCATTCTATCGAAATTGTATGATTTAGATTTTGCACAAGCTCAATAATTGTGCTTCGAAGCAGAAATCCAAAAAAGTACTATAAATATAGTACCTTAAAATTCGTTGCGCGCTTCCATGCTGGATGGCGATCCCCAGTTTGCGATCCCTACCGTGAACAATGTGATAATGCAAAAAGTTACTAATCAGAGATAATTAGTCATATACTCCATAAAACAGTTAAAAAAAACTTTATTGGGTATTTTTTTGTTATTGTAATATTTGTAATTTGTGCAGTTTGAAAACTACACCTGATATGTATATATAAAGCATATATTTGAAATTTAATGGAAATCGCTTCGGATTTCGGAATTATGAAATTAAATGTCGAAATTTAGCCGTTACGTATTTTATTCAAACTTACGTATATTTTTGGAAGAAAATATCCAAAAATGAGTCTTATTTTAAGAATACAAAATAAGATACATTATGATAAACTAACATATCATTTTAATTAACTAAAGGATGTAATTTTGGTGAAATCAGCGACAGTTGAAAAGGACCTAAATTGAATTACATAGTTGGTTTTTTGTATCTTTAGCATAAGCATAGCTTTGTAGTGTAGTTTGTAGTTCAATTCAAATTTAGAATTGGCTTACACAAAATCACGACCTATATATTGATTTTCAGCGTTTTGAAACACTGCTTGAAAGTCGGCAGGACAACTTATAATTGCACCAAAAGAAATACGTCAAGAGCCAGGTTTTCATCACTGAGTGAGATGGAGGCCTATCAAGTCTGAAGAGCAAGTATGTAACCAAGTCATTTGAAATCTTTCAATTTACATGTCTATAAATAAATGATATATTGTATTTTTTTTCGGGAAATCTACTAACAAATTATTACTTTTAATATATTGAGTATAAGCTTAGTTTTGTTTCGTCTGTCAAATGAAATTTTCTTTTAATTACGACCTCAAAATTTCATAATAACATGATTTGCACGACTACCGTTTTATCCTGGCTATTGAGTCGGTCCAGTAAATAAGGCGGGGGTCATTTTTTAGATATAAAAAAATATTGGGGGGGGGGGGGGGGGATTCTTCAGTTGGTCCGATCTTTCATACGGCACTCACCGTCAATATAAGATATAACAGTTTCAAAACTCTAGAATTCTTATTTTTTTAATTAGATATTAGAAACTTGGGTGTCGCTGCTCGATAACCAGTCTGATTCCAAAAAGGTTACTATATATATACATGAGATCCCACCGAATTGTAAATTAACTATAGTCAGCCTATATTCCCGTTGCTAGTAGTCTCAGTAATCATACCGTCCCATGTTCATAAGTGTTCGAATCTGGAAATATATTCCTTATTTCCCTATCGTTTATTCCGTAGTAATAATCTGTCATGTCCTTATATTTATATAATATATATAAACAATGCTTGTGGCTGAAATTATTTATTGACGTATATTTTCAGGAAGTCGCTGGGAAGGAAAGATTAGAGAACTGGAAGGTAAAAAATAACACACTAATAAATAATTAACTAGTTAAGATTTAGATAATGAGGTACAACATAGCATACTGACAGATCATTCCAAATGAGTAATATTTATAATATTGAAAATCTGCAAACAATATCGAATGAACGTAAATGAATATCAGTAGGTTACAAGTTGTCGTCTCTGTATCTTTAGAATAAACATAACTTATAACAAGGGCGCGGACAATCTTTTGAAGGACGTTAAGGTAATTAAGAATAGAAATATTTGTTAGATTTTATCTTTCCCGCCTTATTTTTAATATTTTCATTTCTTGAATATGTAGCCGTATTTTCAACGTGCTTTTCAATGAATAAAAATATAATTTATATGATGTGTTGCAATATTATACACTGACAAATCACTCCAAAGTAATATTTGTAATTTTGGAGGAAATCTGTGAATAATTTATCAATGAACTGAAAATTTATATTTTTATTTTTATGTATCTAAAGCAGCGTTTCCCAACCTTTCTTGGTCGCGGACTGTTTTCTCACTGGTGAAAACCTGTGCGGACTCGAGGAGCGTTCATTGCAATCGTACTCTGTGCGAAGAAGCAATAAAACCAAACACAACATTAAAATTTCAAAATCGGAAATTCGCCGCAATTACGCGTTCGTTAAATGAGCCGACTTTTTTAGTGTATAATGGCCGTTACTGTCGCACAATATTCAGTCCAGGACAACGACTAGAATTTAAAATGTTTTTCTATTTTAATTTATTGTGTTCATGGTAACTCGCGGTTGCGTCGACTTACGACAAGATGAAAGCATTACTTCTTTTATAATGCCACGGCAATCTGCGAACATAATAATGTGAGAATATATTGCCCGATTATATTTAGTTTTGATACATATTTTTTGCGATCTTGCGAATTTGATATCGCGGTTAAAAAAATTCTACTTTCTGCTGTAAAGTTCCAGAAACTACAACTTGATTTAGCACTTGTTAAAAATATATTTGAAGTTTATTAGTAAATCAAAAATACATATTCATTGCCTTTCTTTACTATTAGGTTAATTGTGATGATTTTAATCTGCAATTGTGTTGACGAAGTAAAAGCAATATTACTCAGACAATATCACTATGGTAAAGTGCCCGATTATATTTTGTTTTGATTCGTTTTTTTTTATGAATTCGACAAATCTGAGCTGTTTGTACAACACTTACGGCGTTCCAGTACTCTAGAGGTACGTATACGGTAGCACCCGGAATTTTGCGATTTGCAATGTCCAAAAAAGCGTTTTTAATCGGTCGCGGACAATCATAAAACAAAACGTTGTTATCTGTTTTATTTTTAGTATTTTGTATTGCCTCTTTTCAATTAAAAAACTTGGGTTGCCACCGTTGACATCGCCCCCCCAACAAAATTTATTCCTCGTTGTTCGAACTCGCGAACTCTATCGAAGCGTGTGTGTTTTCGTCGGAAGGTGTTTTTGTCACCTGTTACCAAATTTTCGAATAGTAAATTGCTATTCTAATAGTGGAATATTCGAATATATGCCCAGTCCCACTCATTAACCAGTAATTGACTCGAATAATGTTATGTGAATAAACTCGTATTTTATGTAAATTCTAACGTAAATCGTAACTTGGCTGATAGTTTAGTTTTGCAAGAACGTTTGCAGCCCGCAGTGAATTTCTGGCTCGTTGCGGACTCATTCAAACGCTTCGCGGACTCATTTGAGACCACGGACTCGGGTTGGGAAACACTGGATTCTAAAGTATAAGCATATCTTCTCTGTGCTCCTGCCAAATTACATTTTCTGTAACTTATAAGCCTAAAACTTAATAATGACATAGTTCGAACAACCATATATAATTCAAATCAATATTATACAAAATTTACCTATATTTTAAAATCTCATATGAATTTCAGCTTTCTGGAACACTTCTTGAAAACGGGAAAGACAATTTATCATTATATCTAAAGACGTGCGGAATTGTTTGTCCGATTATGCATCACTGAGAGAATTTGCTGCCTCAGAGCAAGTATGTTATTACAATCTTTTGAATCTTCCTACATTCGTCACCATTATTCACGGATCCCCACAATAAATTTTAGAATTGTTATCTATTACTATTCTTAAGTAAGGTAAAATTACTTTACTTAATTCAAATGCTAAACATTTTAATAGGCTTAATACCGGACATAAAATAAATCTAAATTTCACAGATAAATTAAATATATTAAGGCTGTAAACTCATATTATCAAATTTAGGGTCGAAAACCTTTTTGGTGTTTTTGGAATACTGAAAAAGTCCTAATAACGTACGCGATGGCATTTTGGTAGAATCACCGATAGTTTTCGTCAGCGCGACGTGTTTTTAAAAAACTTATGTGTTTATTCTCCCTAAATCACAAATTTCCTTGACATATGAATGTATTGTTCCACGAGGCCGACGATAACTTTTTTGTTCTTGTGCAGAGTTATGAGTTCAGTGTGCGAAAAAAGTTAGAATGCTATACTATAAAAATCGCTGAAGAGATGCTAAGAATAATGGATAAAAAGATGAATCCGCAACCCAATTTCTTGATTGAAAACCGACATTATAAAATATTGAAACTAAAATCTAAAACGAAAGATATCACCATAAGTTTTGTTCTAACAGTCTCGCAGCAGATTGAAAACGCTTTTTAGACATTGTAACTTTGTTAGGATTTCTTTAAAATGTATACCATATAGTAACTGAAATCGAAGCACAGTAAATTGTTCGCGCGATGTATCTTTTGTCTATTTTGAAATTACCGATGGAGCCCAATACGACTTTTTCTCGGTATGATATAAGATAATTTAATGCAAAATATGTCGAACAATTTTTTTTTGCATTATTTTAATATTACAATCGTTCGTATTTTGTCCATATTTTTAGAATAATTTTGAGTGCCCAAAAAACAAATCAAATTTGACTAACCTCAAAATACGATTCCGGTCTACTTATAGTTTGGGAGGCAGGCAGTTTGGGACGTATTTTATGCAGTTTTTAAATTGTAATTTTTCATTTGAATAAATGTAAAAGTTTTCTCGACTAAAATTCGAGTTACGAAGAACACAAATAAATTACTATGAAATTACTATAACAAGTTATTAAATGCTCGCACCGGCGTAATTGAATATTTTACTCGAAAGACTTTTTATCCACTGCGATCCTACTTATAGATAATGTCACATTCGACTAAGCTCAGAAATGTAACTGTAAATTATCATGGTCTATACCAGTGGTTCTCAAACTTTTTAGTCGCAGTAATATATACAACTTCATCGCCCCCCAGTTTACAAAAACGTTTGAGGTCAGGAACGGATATATTACAGAACAAATAAACAAGATAAATCATAGTTTATAGTGTTTTTATTGAGATGGATTAGCTTAGTGGTCTTCCAAAGAATATTTTTTCAATTTTTGGTGACATTTTCGTCGTCCACAATCTCAAATCACTCTGTTTACTAATCGTACGGCAATTTTGTTGTTTTGATAGCACTTGTTTCATTGTTACAAACCTCTTCTCCACCATATAAGAGGTCGTAAATACATGATGTCAGGCGCGCAGCCAGGATTTTCAAAAGGTGGGGGTTTCGTAATCATAAATTCCCATTGCGGTCTGTAACAGTCTTCGCATTACGCGCTCGGTAAAGGGACGTCTTTTCAGCGTATAATGATTATTCTTGTCGCGTGAAATATTCAATCTCTGACAACTACAAAATTCTAAAATGCCTTTATATATTAGTTTAATTGTGTCCAACGTAACTCGCGGTTGCTTCTTCTTACGTCAAAATTAAAACATTAGTTCTCTGAAATGACACGGTGATCGGTGGACATAAAAATATGAGATAAACGTGTATTTAATTTTAATACGTATTTTTGGAATCTTGCCAACTCGTTATCGCCGTTAGAAAAATCTCAATAACTGATATAAAATCCCGAAAAGTACAATTTTATTTCGTACAATGAAAATGCATATGAAGTATATCGTTAAATCAAAAATACATATTCATCGCCACGCACGCCACTCGTTAAAAGAGACGACGTTTACAACAAAAAATGATTTTTCTGTTGTGCAAAGTAATCAATTCGTGACCGATAAGGGCATATTTAAAATGTCTTGCTTCATTAATTTAATTGTCTTCAATTTAACCAGCGTTTGCGTCGACAAAACAAAACAATTTTTTACAATTCACAATTTTAAAATACCTCGCCATTTGACGACATAAAAATAAAAATTTGTGGTAACTGCCCGTCGCCTATCATATATTGTTTTGATCCGTATTTTTTCTATTTTGAAAATTCGACAAATTTGAGATGTGCTTGTAACATTGACTTCGTTCAATCGCAATGCTGACACTCTGATTATTTTTAAAGATAAAACCTCCTGAAAAATCCGTAAATCTGCTGTCAATTCTCATGGAGTAAATATTATTTCAGTACAATAAAAATTGATGGATATACTTCGGATTAATTATCTTATATATCATCACAAACCGGGAAAAAAATCGCGTTTTCAACCTTGTTCAATGATAACACGAAAATTTTCTACGACAATTTTAAAGTAATGGATAAAAGGCAAATCCCACCCACAATAAACCGTGTTTCGATTTTAATGACGGTATGTTCCTAAACGGCGACCAAACATAATGTGCGCCGTAGGCACACGAAATTTTGCAATTTTGCGACTAGAAAAGCGTTTTTAGACTGTCGCGGGACTCAACAAAATTCGTTGATTACGGTTTTATTTTCAGTATTTTATAATGCCGCTTTTCAATCAAATTTAGATCGCCGTTTTACTCCTTCTTTTGTCTTTAGAACCTCGCCACCGATGAACGTATAATAACTCACGAATTCACAATATCATCACAAACCGGGAAAAAAATCGCGTTTTCAACCTTGTTTAATGATAACACGAAAATTTTCTACGACAATTTTAAAGTAATGGATAAAAGGCAAATCCCATCCACAATAAACCGTGTTTCGATTTTAATGACGGTATGTTCCTAAACGGCGACCAAACATAATGTGCGCCGTAGGCACACGAAATTTTGCAATTTTGCGACTAGAAAAGCGTTTTTAGACTGTCGCGGGACTCAACAAAATTCATTGATTACGGTTTTATTTTCAGTATTTTATAATGCCGCTTTTCAATCAAATTTAGATCGCCGTTTTACTCCTTCTTTTGTCTTTAGAACCTCGCCACCGATGAACGTATAATAACTCACGAATTCACAATTCCGTGCAAAGTACAAAAATAAAATAACTATCATGTTTATCGTGGCACAAATTTATGATTTAGAAAGAATAAAAATCGACGTAAGGGCTTACATTTTTATGAAAATCAGGCATTGGTGCATCTCTCGAATATAACATGAACTTTATTTCTCCATTTCTTGCATTTCACGGATCTTCATTTAAATATTTTCTGCGCTATTGAACCCCTGCACAGTGCACTAAGCATCAACTTTTTTGCGTGTTCCCATTCGTCTAATTATATTTAACTTGTAGACTCGTTAAACGACTAACTGTTCACTGAATTATTAGGTTATAATATGAATGTCGCACGATAAATTCTCTTACGTAAAAAATATAATCTACCTTCCGAGTGTAGATTGAAAGACAATCCTTGGTAGTCATTGTAACCATATGTTGCATGTTGATAAGTGTTCAAAGCTGGTAATATTCCTAATGCGCGGTTATTAATTGCGAGTATTCATATCATCTATGCATGCGTGTATGTATCTATGTATGACAATGTGTTAATTAATGCAAATACCACTACCCTAAAATCGTTTATCACGAGGTACCTGAGCTAGCATGTCTAACTTCGTTAAAAGCATAGTCCTTATCATTCTATCACTTTACATGGCCTTTACCATTTTTTATTAATTTTGGAACCCGTTTTCACCACAGATGGTCACGCAAAGTACCATACTATGTAAGGGAATCTGACAGATGGCATCAAGTTTTCAAATCTAGAAATATATTCCTTATTTCTTTGTAGTTTATTGCGAGTATTAATATGTTATGTTCTTATAATGAATGTATAATGTATACAATCCCTGTGGCTTATTAAACTTATTGAAAATTATTTGATGAAATATATATTTTTAGTTGTAGGGAAGAAAAACAATGGAGGACCTGAATATTCAGGTAAATATAACGCACAATGCCTGTGGTACACAAACATTTTAAGCCGCCCAAGTTTGGAATTTCTCAAGTCTCGCGCCCCCACCTCAAAATAACTAGTTAACAATGTGCTACAAAAACACAGATAGTTAGGGCCTAAGTTTTCGTCAAGAAGCACGTTGCAAATACGTGTATGGAAGATTTTACGCTTTTTTTTAAGTTTCATCAATCAGCTTCACGTCCCCTTAAAATGTTTACGTCCCCATGTGAGGAGCGCCACGCCGTTTGAAAACCACTGCACTAATAAATAATTGACTAGTCGATATTTATATGACGAGATAGAAAATAATGCACTGACAGACAGATCATTCAAATTAAGCAAAAATTGTAATTTTCGTGGAAATCGGCAAATAATTTTATATTAAACGAAAAATTATATTTTAATTTTTGTATAAACTTCTAGTATAAGCTTAGCTTCTCATGTCTCTGTTATTCACAACTCCAAAGCTTGATAATGACATAGTTAGAACAACTAAATATCTTTTCTGTATTCCTGTTAAATATCATTTTTTGTGATTTAAATAACTTGATAGTGTCTTAGGTAAACGAAATCTAGTTTCACCTATAGTTAGATAGACTTGGTATACACATGATCATGACATTAAATTGATTTTTTTATTATGTATTTTTAATATAAGCTTACCTTTGCTTTACCTCTGTCAAACAGCATTTTTTTGTGATTTATAATTCCAAAACTTGATAATAAAACTATATATTTATTTTCAGTTTTCTAAAACACTGCTTGAAAATGTCATTGCATCAAACGATATTGTAAATAGTCTGCTGCATCACGGAGTGAGATGGAAGCCTATATAGTCCAAAGAGTAGAGAGCAAGTGTGTAATCTTATAAATCTTCCAATTCACATTTTGTCACGTATAAACTAATATATCATGTTAAATCCCGCTAGTCAGGAAGAGCTGCAAATATCCTCACAAAATGTCCAAAATATTTTGCCCCATTTTAGTAATATAATTTCGTAAAGTCATGTAATGCAATGGTTTCCACACGCTAGTTCACGGGCAGGTGTGCAGTATTTAGCCGGTATGCAATAAATTTTGCTGCTTTGTTAATTTCGTATACATAATTTCCAAAAAGACGCGGTTATGTTCCTTTTTGGGCGTTCACCCATCGATGGCAAGTCTCGAAGTATGCGGCAGTCGCCAGCAATGGGATTATAATACTGGCAATGGGGCATTTGCGGTTGCATTCATACAATTAATCGGCCTCCTTTTATAGTATTTAATGTATTCGTACTTTATGGGTTTGTTTCGTCGCCATAGCTTTTTGCTAGTTTTTCAAGAGTCTAGAACAGTAGTTTTTAACCAGGGTTCAATCGCATTTTTGGTGTTCGATGGAGCTGTTCCAGGGGTTCGACGAGGGTCCTTTATATTAAAACAGTTTTATATTATGGAACTTTTCTATCACATCGTTCACAAATTATGCAAATTTAACTACAGTTCATCTCAGATATTTAAACTTACACGTTCAACAGCTAATAAATTAGCGTTGCTGTTTGTATAGCGTTGATCAGTTGTAAGTTTTAGTGAACCCGTCATCTCCACGGATGTCGCGCGTTTTTGTGTTAGTACTGATATGATAGTGCCCTTAGATGCTTTCTGCTTATGACTTTGAAACATCTTGGGTTGTTATGAAAAACCTATGATTTTCAAGATGAATCACACAGCGTTACGTAGTATTATTTTGTTGATGTTGCAATTTCGCGAGAGCAGAAACAGTCAGGTACAGCTAGATTTGATGAAATATATATCCAATTCATATCGTATTACATTTTCTGTCATTCATAAAGCCAAAACTTGACATCGTTCACATAATGACATAGTTCGAAAAGTCATTGGTACATTCAAATTTTAACCCTGAAGCCGAAATTAGATCGAAATAATTAAATATTCTTCTGAAATTAATCAATATTTGTAAAACTTACCATCTTCGAATACCACATTGTGCCCCCACAAGTTTTTTATATTTGTGCTCGATTTTAAGGAATATTTAAATTTTTCCCCGCTAGGTCGGAAAAGTTCGAAATAATTCAATATTTTTGAAAGAACCTATTGTGTTTTATTATCAATTTCATTTGCACTGTATATTAATTATTTAAGAATATTACGACAGTTGAGAATGTTTCTTTGGAAAAATGAGAGATGTGGGAAAACATCCCCGCCAGCTTTAAAATACCAAATTAGTAGTTCAGCTTGGGTTAGGGGTCAGGTTAAGAATGATTTACAAATTTGAAATCTGCATTCGGGAGTGTTTTTTGAAATTAATGCTTCCTTTGAATTGGATTTAAATCTGTCGGTAACTTAAATGCCCGACCCAAATTTGTGTTTGGTAAATTTTAATTTAAATAAAAAAAAATCTGATAAATAATAATTTGATTCTAAGTCATTGTCGCATGAATGTCTTAGTTGTACAAAAATACATTGGAAAAAGCTAAATGATGTTAAATGTTTTTACTTAAGTAAAACAGTAAAGATGGAAAGTAAGAATGTTAAGCTAAATATTGGGGAAATGAAAGCAAACGTATTAACAAAAAAGCGCTGAACGTTTCCACGAATTTAAGAAAGAAATGAAATGAATCTATGATGAAGCGTAATAAATTGGTAGATTTAAAAGCACGCAACATGAGGACTTTTTATTGAATTTTTAGAATTTTCTGATTTTGTCGTAACGATACTGATTGGTTTGATCTTCATTGGAGCTTGCGAGTACTTTTGCAGAGCAATGCTGTATTACATAATGGTTTTTACAAAAATCTTAAGCTATGTGGTGAACAGAGGGAAATGAATTGCAAAATTCTTGTTCCTATGTTTGGAAGCGATGCACAACAACAAATTCATGGAAAAAAGGCCAATTTACTGGTGCAAATATTTGACCGAAAATATATTAATTGAAAGCGAAAGTTTTTCGGATTTTCTCTCCCTCAGCGAATTCATTCGAACCGTTAGGTTTTAATTAACCCAATATGCTAGATAATGTCTCTGTAGAAATGCGGAGCTTTGGTCAAACTTGTGCGTGAACTGAAAAATATACACAAAAGACAACTAAGTCCTAACATGAGGCCGAGGTAAAATAATTATTACGAGACAGAATCTGTTTGTGCTTTAAAATCTGTTTGGAAAGATTTGGCGTGGTTATTTTAAATTTAGCCGACAGATTACTAAAATGCTTTGCTTTTATACATTTCGTATCACATTAATGAAATTTGAAGCCCAACATAAAGAAAGAAAAATACGCGCGTTGCATTAATGAGCCTTGTTAGCTGTAATTGTGATAAAATTATACTACTTTGAGTTTTTGAAAAAATAAAAATGCGAATTCTACTTACTTTCATGCAGGTACATCCTAAAATTCTCATTTGTAGTGCGATTGTTTTGAAATCATATTTGAAATCATATTTTGAAAATATGTTAACGTAACTTTAAATATCAAAAAAAAACGAATCTCCCAAATCAAATAAACCCTCATTGGGTTCAGTACAAAATATAGAACGCCGTTAACATTATAAAGAGGGAAATATGGAATACCTGTAAAGAAGAAAAATGGCTGTCCATTTTGAACTTCAATGGACATTTTTTCTGTAGTTCTTTGCGTTTCATACTTTTGTATTTGTTTTTTGTTGTCAAGACTTCATGATAATATTAATTTTACAGTTTTTTTCTCTCTAGGTTTAAAAAAGACCATATAGTGTGAATGTTTACACGCATTTTCTACTCGAGTCTCTCGCTTATCGTTTGTGCTTCTTTTTTCCTCTAATAAGAGGTCATCTATAAACTTGTTCTGGTATCATGATGCCATGAAAATATATTGTCTTCTAGTAGTCGCTTTTTTATTACTTTAACTTGGTTCCAATTTTAATGCTCGAATCAAATTAGGATAATTTTGAGTTGAAACAGCTAAACTAACGCAATATGCTATGTTCATTTTGCAATAATATCGTCTGCCCTGAATATTAATTTTTCGACAAATGTTCATATCACCATCGTGTATGATTTACTTGTTTTATTTTATCATTAATTGCGGTATATTGGCTTTTCATTTATTTCAATTTCGGTATGGAATGGTTAAAATGGGTGTTCTACCTTCTGCGCTTAAAACAAACACCAATGTCGCTATACAGTCAGTGCTGGTCAAAACACAATTTAAAAGGCTTTCGGTAAAAGATATCGGGTATCGGTAATATTGGCAAATTGTTTGGTATCGGTATTCGTATCGATATCGGCTAAATCAGGGGTGGGCAACTTCTCTAGTCGGCGGGCCAGATGTGGGAAAATGAAGTACTCGGCGGGCCTGATGATTACAAAAATTCTTCGGTATCCAATCTTTATTAGATTCTCATGGTCATGCTCTGGAATATTATACTGTCTATCTTGATACATTCTGGTACAATATTCATAACCTTTTATTTGGATTGATTTGGATTAATCAAGAAAAGCATGCAGAGCGGAAAAAGCACGCATGCTGATTTCCAGGTTTCTGAATCTTGCGAGATTTGACGGAGCGCTTTCGCGATGAATCGGAACCGGAAAAGCAAAAAGTGATTACTCAGCGCCAAGGCGTCGCCGGGCCATTAATACCGCACTTATCAAACACCAATATGACGGCGGAAGAGAAATTGCGTAATAAATCAACATAACTTACCCATTAATCAAGAAAATCATGCAGAACGGTAAAAGCACGCATGCTGATTTCCAGGCTTCTGAATCTTGCGAGATTTGACGAAGCGCTTTCGCGATGAACTGAAAAGTATGATTACTCGGCGCCAAGACGTCGCCGGGCCATCGCGCACGTATCCAACAGCAATATGACGGCGGAAGAGAAATTGCGTGATAAACCAACGTAACTTCGTCTTTTCGGCTTCGGTAAAGCGATTGAGATGGTAGAAAAACAACGAAATGAAATTTTCCGCGGACCGGCAAAAAAGCCTCGCGGACCGGCACCGGTCCACGGACCGACGGCTGGGAACCTATAATCTAAAGCATATAGCACTTTTATTGTGTAAATGAGTTCTCAATGAAACATGCCCTTCCCCAAAAGTTTTCTGATATTACATCGAATTTTTAAAAGTAATATTTGACAGACCAACTTTTCTAATAGTCATCTTCAGTGTGAAACTTAATCACATCAGAAAATAGGGTGGGAGTTGACCTCGATGACTTCATGGTCGTATCGCTCCCTCCTGTCAATACCGAAGCCATTTTATTTGTGTTATGTATTTTTTTCGTATTGGTGATTGTTTGTTTTTGGTTGACAAAATTTCAAATCTGTTTATGTGGATATGGATTATGTTTATGGAATTTTTACAACGCTTTCTGCTTTGACCTTATATTGTTTGTTTAACAAGTGTGCTAACGCAATTGTTTGTTCACTAAGGCAATTGTTTATTTTACCAGCTTGCACTGACAGTGCGGTGAGAGTAGATCGGCAACTTTCAGGAATGATGCGTCGGACCACATTACAGGGTGTGGTTGGATACAGTCAGCGGGCCGGTCAAAATCTCGTCGCGGGCCGTATGTTGCCAACCCCTGGGCTAAATGTAGACTGATATTTCCAAGATAATTAACTGATTAATCTATTCCAGAATGTTTTCAAAAAGTAGGTTCAAATACTAATATGAAAATTATTTTTTGCTTGGAATGATCGTGTTTGCGGTATTAGTCTCGTTAAGTATGTTATTAAATGCGAGTATTCATATGTTATATCCATGCATGTATGTATCTATGTATGACGCTTTATTAATGCGAATATTACGACTCTAA